CACTCGATTTTTCTTCAAATTTATATTGTAAATAGTGGTATCAGCATGGAAAAAGGAATAATTACAAATTAAGGTGGTTGCTAATAGTGTTATAAATTAAGTATATACAAAGAAAATAAAGTATTGTAAATAGTGGTATTAGCATGAAAAAGGAATAATTACAAATTAAGGTGGTTGCTAATAGTGTTATAAATTAAGTATATACAAAGAAAATAAATCTCCCATACATATCAAGAATAAGAAACGTAATATTTTGAGGGGAAAAAGATCATTGACAATGGCAGTGCAGTACATGGGCTATTCTGTTTCCATTTGTCATTTGTCAGGCCCAATCCAATAAGAATGTCTTAGGTTCCCTTGACAACTATGAAATGAAATTTTCTTTTTATTTCCTCAATAAACTTGGAACAAACAAAATTACTATAGACTAGCAAGAGGATTTCTTGGTTTTCAAAGTTGCCGAAGATTTTATCTTTAGAGGATATGATATGAAGCTTTGAACATACTGGAGAAGCATTGAAACGTTCTATCAATGCTGATGCGGAGATTACTTCTCTGCAGATTCATTGAAACTTAAGAAAATGAGATATTCCTTACTGACGAAAATGGAATAATTATGACATTAAATTCATTAAAAGCAAACTAAAACAATAACTCTGAAAAGTTGCAATAATAAAAAAGTTAATTACTTTAACAAAATAAAACACTGATTACTTGTATTTGTACTGGGACATATCACCTACTTACCAACATCAACAACAGATAAGCCAATGATGTTTTTTGGGGGTAACTTTATTTACATATTTTCGAATTGTTTGCAAAAGATTGAAAAATGATTTGGATGGACGTTAGGTACAATTATATGAAGGCATTTTAGCTGACAGCAGCAATAAGCATGAGCAGGAGGATAGGCCAAAGAATCCTACAACCCGTAGTAGCTTACCACAACATAGCAGCGGGTGCTGGTTTTAGACAACATTTTCCATGTAGTAAAGATTCAAAGAGAACTTTGTGTGAGACTGGCTTGTCTGCAAGAAAAGGCTAATGGCTGACATTGCAAGGTGAAACAACATTAAATGTTGAAGTTCTGTTAGTCCAACACGTACCAACAAAGATTTCAGTCTCTTAGAACATGGCCTTGTTTGATCAGGAACGCTTATTAAGGCCATGAAAAAAACGGTGTTTTCTCCTCTTCGAATGCCTCCGTGATTGTTTTGTCATGACAAAGGGTGCAAATTGAACCTATACAGGAATAAATTACCATTAAATTACACTGTTAAAGATATCATCCAATTAGTGGACAAGGGATGAAAAGCAAAGGAATTTTTGTAAATAACTTTCAACAAAGAAATAACAATACAAAATAACAAAAAGAGCTGCATAAACAGAAACTTCTTGTAGTCAAATTCTACATTGATAAAAAGAATGGGTAGGACAAACTAAGCAAATATTTCTATATGAAATGGCATGCACCAAAAACTAACATAATGCAAAAAAGTAGGATGCAAGGAAACCGTATCATTTTTCACACAAAAAAAAGGTTATCAAAGCTTTTCTTAAGACTGATTTGAACATAAACATAATGAGAATCAGCATAATAAAAAAATGCAACAGAAAGAACGAGTCTTTTAAGGATATGTAATACTTAAATTCATATATTGGAAAAAGAAAATATAAAGAAGTTAGGAGAGAAGAGATACAAAATAAATTTGAACACAGAATAATGCAAAGAACATACCTGAGAATTATTTCGTACACCAAAATTTTGGAGTGCATCATTATCATCTAGGAGCTTGTTGTTATGGTATGACAAACAATAATTTGCCCATACATGTTTCCTGCAAATGCATAAGTTTTTTAAATAGAGGGACACAAAATCAGGATTTCCTAAGATGAACTTTTGCAATCTAATCAAGTATTACACCATTGTTAACAAAATTACTCACAATGACTAAAGCGATATTGCTATGAGCAATAACTTCTGGAATACAGTAAAGAAGTTCACTAACTATTTTTATCATTTTGAGAAAGGAGAAATGATTGTGGACTAGAGAGAAAAGGAAGACTGTAACTCACCAAGAAATGTGGCGGTGACCCATGCCAGATTGTTCCATGTCATTTACCTTCCTCTTGATGGCAAGTTTCAAATCCTTGACTGTTGCTGAATTCATCACGATCACGTCTTATACCACCAAAATAACTAGTTAATCAGAAATTTAAACACGTCATTTAAAATTTTCAAAACATATTAGTAATGTGAATATTACCAAGAGTAGACCCATCCAATTTCAAGACAGAAATGCGCATGGCACTACCCAATTCAAGGCTAATGAGAGTGTCAACATCTGCCAAAGTTGGGTTCTTGGGAACATCAGAAAGTATAGGGTCATCTAGCAAGTTTGTCAGCAACGAGTTCAGCCTTGCCTTCTTTATGCTGCTCTTGTTATATTCTTCCATTTATCTTCTCTCAAGCTTCCCTAAGGAACTATCTTTCTGGTCAGCCTGCATATAATTGAGGGAACACACTAGTCCTTTAAATACATGTATTCAAATCCAGCAATACATATTCTGTTTGACCTAGACATAGTAAAATGAATATCCTTTATTACCAAATAAATCTGGCTACAAATTATTTAAAAAAAAACACCAGCATAATGCAACAACACATCAACCTTTCCTCCAAATTGAATCGAAAGAATAATTTCTCAGTCTCTCCATTTCTTGAATTATATCATGAAAAATAATTACTACAAACACACAGGTTATTTGAAGAGTACCAATTATTCTAAGTACACAACTTCAAATGGTGTTCAGGATATTCTTTCTTATTTACCCAGAACAATAAAGGATAATATGATATCACTGAACGCCAAAATCCACATGGGTTTTGTTAGGAAGCTAAAAGCTACACTGCTCTAAAATATCTCAAACTGCCATTAAAGCTATGAAGAAGCTAAAAGATAAATATTGATCTTTTTCATTCCTTCCTCTTTGTAAAGAGAAATACACTTTTATAACCCAAAATATACCAATTGAATAATAATAACCTATAAATATCATCATCTAACAAATTTTGGAATTAGTTTGCAGTGCCGTACATGTTGAGATAACGTACCTTCTTTTTAAATTATTATTTTTTCAGAAATAGACTTCAACTTCCTTGTTATAAGTCTTTCTAGTTGGTTTTGGTTTAGTCTCCCATTTTTTTTCTCCTTTATTTTATAGATTGGGCAGCAGCAGATGATTTTTGCTAATTGTGGCATCAACATAGTTAGGATGTCAATTAACACTATGATGCTTTAGCACTACAATTCTATTAAAAAAATATTATAACTACGAGAAAGCTAAGAAATATCCAGTATAAAAAAGGGGTTAAATAGTTTATTTAGGAAAGCTTATCACATTCAGTCATATCAATTTGGCTGTGTCCAACTTGCTTAGAGACATGCAAGTCAATCATTTCACTCCTTAATCGCTCAACCTCATCCCATCTCTCAGCTTCAGCATAAATGTTAGATAACAACACATAATCTCCGTCTGATAGACTTTTCAATTTGGCAAGTTGTAGGAATGACACCTTAGCCAGCTCCATGTTCCCTTGTGTCCTACAAGCACCCAGCAACGTTCTCCATAAAATGGATCTATTTTGGAAAGGAGAAGTCCTGATCATCTGATGTGCCTCTTCCAGCAAACCAAATCTACTAAAAAGATCAATCATGCAACCATAATGCTTGATTTCGGGCACAATTTTATACTTCACCATATGATCAAAATACCATCTTGCTTTATCTACCCAACCCTTATGACTACAAGCAATCAAAACACCAATAAATGTTACTCGATTCGGCCTAACAGTACCAAGCCCGCATTCCATCTCTGAAAACAACGTCAGAGCTTCCTCACAGTAACCGTGGACAGCCAAACCAACAATCATAGCATTCCAACAACTCGTAGTTTTTATCCCCATCCCTCTAAATACCTCCCAAGCTGAACTCAAATTTCCACATTTAGAATACATATTCAGAAGGGCGTTTCCCAAATACCCTTCAATCTTATGCTCAGACGCTTTGAGAGACTCGTGTATTTTGCTTCCCATTTCTAGTGCACCAGTTTCGGCACAGGCACCCAGAACTGAAATAAACGTCACTTCGGTGGGTCTTATTTTAGCGTTTTGCATCTCAGAAAACAGTGTCAACGCTCCTGCATAATCCTTAACGGACACAAAACCAGCAATCATAGAATTCCAGGACACAACATCCCTCTCGGGCATAACTTGGAACACCCTTCTTGCACCCTCAATATCACCTGACCTGATGTACCTTCCAATGACAGTGTTCCATGAAACAACATTCTTGAGTGGCATTGATTCAAGAAGGTAATCAGCTGACTTAGAATTGTTGACACGATGGTATGCCGATATCATGATATTCCAAGAAACCAAACTTCTGTTACTGATTTCATCAAACAAGTGTTGGGCAACATGGACCAATCCACATTGAGAGTACATATAGAGCAAAGAGTTCTGAATTGAGGGGTCTTGATCAAACCCCAGTTTGATAACAGTACAGTGAACTTCACCCCCTTTGGAAACAATAGTGATCTCATCGCACTCACCAAATTCTTGGACAAACTTGTATGCTCTAGAGCAAGCCTTGAGCACAAAGTTGTAGGTGAAATGGTCAGATACAACATCTGAGGTCTGCATGTGGCTGTATATGTATAGAGCTTGAAGAGGGAAGGAAGACTTGGCAAAGGCTCGAATCATAGTGTTGCAAAGGAAGGAGTTGTTCATAGAAGTTTGTAGGAAGAGGGAATGAGCATGGGAGAGGTCTCCCGTAGGAGAAAGTGCGGAGAAGAATATTAACCTATCAATGAAAGGAGTATGGGTTTGAAAGCCTGCTTTGGTGATAATGGCTTGGACTTGTGTCAGTTCCAACATGGAACAGAGGTGCTCAAGCACATACCTTATGCGTGAATATGTTCCTAACATTCGTGCTGTGTCTCGCTGTCACTACAAGTATTCATATAAATAAACTATAAGTATTCATATGAAAATTGAGTGGTATTTATATGAAAAAAAAAAGATTCTATAAACAAGACCGAGCATCGTCAAGGTTGAGGATGTGGAAAGCTGAAAATCCAAATTACTATGGATTTGAACTAGATATGAGAAATAATATAGCAGAGGCTTCAGTTATATGAGAAATATCGATCATAATTCTCGGGTTTTTACTCTAATTATAGGGTTACTCCATTATCTACCATGTAACAGATGATATCAAATTCCACCTTGTTAAAAATTCTCAAACTTTTTACCACATTGGTGCAAAAATCTTAAGGCAGAGAAATTACCAGGCAATGCAAGTTCAAAGGCTTTCGTTGTAGAGCATCAATGTGATTGATTGCTAAAGCCCAACCCAAAAGCACTGATTTCCTTCCAGCATGAAGGAGCAATAATATTAAAATTGTATACGAAAAATCTGGCTTGATGTTTGATAAGCTAGCAATAGAACCGTTCACACAACATGATAAAAAAACATAAAACAAAAAGGAAAACAAAGATAAATCAAATAAGAAAGTAGTCACATATTCTTCAAGCCTCAACCTCACTTCTCAGACGAGTTGGGACACCTCTTCTTGCCAAATCCCACCACTACAACAACATAAACCGAACCCCTCGTCAGAGACCGCACAATTATCCATCTTCTACTTTCGTAACACACTTCATATCACTCAATAGTACGAAATGGGAATTGAAGCGAAAATTAGGGTTTGAGAAAATACCGGCGGTGACGAATCGGCGATTGTACTGCATCCTCTCGTGGGCGCGTCCACGAGGCTTCTTCTTTTTGTCCTGCTTAGCTACTTTGGGGTTTGGCCTCTGACTTTGCCGGCACGTGCAAGTGATCCGTGAACCTTACCTGCAAATTGCGTTATGTGTGATTCGTTGTGCACGAGAAAGAAACACAATCATACCTCATTTTCAAACAGGAGCCATAACTTAACTCACCCATCACAGCGACGATGAATTTCTCTTCTGATTAAATTGGGCTCTACATTGAAAAATTGGGCTGATTAAATTGAATCTATTGAGCTGCAGGGCTGAATCTATTAAAAAATTGGGCTGATTAAGTGGCCGCTGGAAATGGGCTGATTTTGAGTTTGGGCCTGCGTTTAATTGAACCTGTGCGTTTTGGCAAATGACTTTGCTGCCTTTGAAGGGGTCCAGACGGCGCGTCACATTTGGAAGAGAAGGAAAACCCAGCAGCAAGGGTTAGAAAGAAGAGAACGAGGGAGGAAGAAGCTTGGCTTGTGCTCGTGTGCCACTTACCCAGAGAGAAGGTGATGTTAATTCTAATTTTCATGCATTGCTTTTATGTTTTGGCATTTACTTTGATGTAATTTTAGGTACTTTTATGAATTGATGGAGTATATAGTTTCTTTAAGTAGTTGCTATTAGAATCCATTGTTTTGATTGAAAGTAGCTTAGGTCATTTGATTTTGATTTTGATTGTAATGGTTAGAGTTTAGGTATTGTTCTGCATATTTTGGTTTTTGTTAAGAATTTTGGAGATTGTAGTGTAGAATAGGTTTTATGAACATGGATTGAATGAATAAGTGGAAAGAGTCAAAACATGTTCTGAAAATTGAACAAGAACACCCCAAGGTGGGTTTCAAACTTAACAGGATTTCTTCCTGAACACTCTTAGCACACTTTCATCCAATTCAATGTGCATTTACCCATGAAATCATTTCTGTGTATGTCTTTAGCTTCATTCTTTAATTTCTTTACATTTGTTGAATGATTTGTAGGTTAGTTTTAGTTTAGATAGATCTCCTATTATGTTGAATGTGTTCTTTTAAATCAAGTCCTGCTTCTGTTTACATTTCCATTTTACAGGTTCTTTAGCTATTTGATTAATCTGATTAGCACTTGTGTTTTTTAGATTATATCATGCATGTTTCATTTCCTTCCATATCATTAGATCCAGTTAGTATTAGGTTCTGTTTCTGTTTTAGGTAGTTTAGACTTTTATTTTCTTTTCTTTTATTTCATTTCATATTTCTTTCTTCTTTTAAACAGTAAAGATTTTAGATTTTCTCTTTCCTTTTTAGTTCCATTCATATTAATTGTCCCCACCTAGTTTAGATAATTAGTAAATAATAAAAGATCTTAACTCTACACCTTAAACTTAATTTTAGTTGAGTCCTAAGATTGACATCTTGGTTGCCCTATGCTACATTAGTGGGGACCAATTTTGTTCTGCTTTAAACTGCTAAAAAGTAGTTTAACAGCGGGTAGAGAAGGAAGAGAAGGCAATGTGAGGAGGAATTGACTTACAAATGTGCAATGTGATGATATCTTACATTTTGAAAAGAGGATAAACAGAAGAAATTGAAACAAAACATTGAATTATTGGAGTTTATTTCTGATTCTTTTGTCCATGAAACCTCTTGGATATAAATCTTTAATGTTTGGCTAGGCCTATGGAGGCCAGTAGCAAGAAGGCAGTTTCTGCTTTTAGAGAGGTCATACAAGCTCCATCCAAGGTAGATTAAGATTTATTTGTTCCTTGTAAAGAGTGTAATGCTCTATTTATTTATTTTTTAAATTTATGTTAGTGCCTTTCATGGAATTCATTGAGTAGTTAGTTTAACTCCTCAAAGTATAGTGAGGCCCTGTAGTAGCTTGATTAACATTTTAATATTTTAGACCTACTATACTAAGCTACTACCTTGTAGTGCCATTTGCAAGCTTATGTAGATTAGGAACATCAATTGCTTACTTGATTGTCTCACACATTAACACACATTATTGGACTCTGGAGTCATGTAAGTCATTGTTAGAAGTATTAAAATATAGAAGCATTAAGCTGACACACACTATTAAGACTTTGGGTGGTGTGTTGTAGATTTAGGGTATGAGATGGGTTAAGTGAGTTACTGCAATGGTTTTTGCCATGGGAGTGCTCATTGGAAGTGTTAAACTATAAAGATGAAGAGAAACATTGAACTGAAATGTTGTGTGGTTTATTGATAGCTCTTTGGCAAGTATACCAAATCGTTCCAAGTAATAAAGTGAATAAGTACCAATATCGTCTCCCAAGGAAATTTGAGTTACGTTATCTAATCGAGTTGTTCATCAAAATCAATTTAGTGACAATGGAAATTTGATTCATGTAAACTAAAAGTAATGAAATTAACAAAATATTAAAATTTGAATTTAAAGTTGAAAGTAAGCTTCGTTGGAATTGAGTTCATGACTAACATTACGGTAACTTATGAACAATAAAATATGTGTTCAAACATTAACATCACTGTATCTTGGTTTAATCCCTTAAAACAAGTTCTAAAGATATATGTTCAATTATTAATTCCTTAAGTAATTAAACATAACCCTTGCATTAAAATCTGATGTTTATAAATGACCAAAAGAATTGAGACTATTCCTAGCATGGTTCCTTTTGGTTGCTTTTCTTATGTTCATACTCAAATTTACTTCCCAGTACAACTTGAATATATAAAATATATCATACTCCCGTATAATGACAAGTAAAACAAGAAAAGCATATGAACACAAATATATATTAAACAAGAAGATTACATCAAATGTTATTCATTACATTCAATTCCAACGAAAGAAAGAATTAGCTACTCCAAGCATCTAGAACGTACACAGTTTTGCAACCCCTTGCATACAATGTTGTTTGAATGCCTTGAAGTGGTCTCTTGATCGTTTCCTGAAATTCTCTAGTATTTTTCGTGCTATGTTTGTCAGAAGATCCAATATTTCTTTCTGTCTCGACTTTTAAAACCAACTTCCTTTAATTAATTCACTCAGCGCACAACTATGCATGCACTGAGCGAAAATCTCAACTGCACACCTCCAACTGATGCCATTTGCTCAACGCATAGTTCTGGTGCGCTAAGCGGAAGTCTTCATTTTGGTTGAGCGACAATTGGCATGCGCTTAGCGAGACAGTGCTGTCAACACTCCAAATAATGTATAGATTCCTGTACAATTTATTACACAACTTTCCTTACTTCTAATTACAACTTTTCAATGAGGAAACACATGAATAATTACAACTTTGAGCTCATTTATAAGTATGAAAACAAGTATTTTTCACACTTATCATTTATTTATATTGAGAGAAAGAAATAAGTACAATACATGAAGGGTATTTGATATCCTCTAATAATAAAGATATGATCCTATAGTAATACATATATAATCTTGATATTTTTTTTATGAAGATATGATTTTGATATCTGTAATTATAACACTCTCCTTCAAGTTAGAATATATAAGTCAAATGTATTCAGCTTGCTATAGAATTGATCATTGGTCATCTTAGAGATGAAGTGAATGTTTGCTAGTTGTTCACTAGATTTTAAAACTGATGATTACTGTTCTTTTCATTTTATATGTCTGTATATTAGTCTGAGTTTCTATACCGTTAATAATGTCAGTTTGTACGTGATCCGCGATTTGAATCTCTTTGTGGTACACTTGACCGTGAAATGATGTTGAACTCTGGACATTTTCTTTGGAATTAGTATTTACTCACATAATTGATACTTCTAGCTTATGTCATAGGCTCATAGCATTGCTTTCTGCAGATTTTATTTCATGATTACTGGTAACTAGAATTTATACTATGATATGAACAATTTAATGCAAGAGGGTTTTTTGTTCCTGTTTATTTTTGAACAGTGCATTCGACTGAATCTGGAAACTTCTCTTGTAATATATAATACTTGGACTGGCAAGTTTAATATTCAATTATTTTAGTTGGATATGAAAACTAGAATGAATACTTACATGTCTGTTTTCATACTGTCTTAATATTCATTCTCATCTTATTCTATTTAACTTATTAAATAGTGGAGACCTTATATTCATTGCCTTGGAAAGTTAAACCTTATATTCCAAACCTTTTTTTTTTTCTGCTCATAGCTTCTATGTAGGCCAATAGTACTTTAAGC